GCCTGGTGCTGCATGCTCAACTGATTTGCAAGCGTGCATTGCCCTTGCATGGTCCWGGGGCTGTCCCGTGCCTGGTGCCCCGTGCTCAACTGCTTTGCAAGTGTGCATTGCCTCTGCATGACTGTGGTTCTGGAGAGCTTCTGGTGGCCCACAATCATCTGCTTTGGAAGCGTGCACTGCCCTTGCACGGCTGTGGGACTGTCCCATGCCTGGTGCTCCACACTTGACTGCTTTGCAAGTGTGCATTGTCCTTGCATGGTTATGGGGCTGGTCCATGCCTCGTGCCCCATGCTCAGCTGCTTTGCAAGCATGCAAGCATGCATTGCTCTTGCACGGTTGTAGGGCTGATCAGCACCCCACGCTCAACTGCTTCGCAAGCATGCATTGCTCTTGCACGTTTGTGGGGCTGGTCAGCACCCCATGCTCAACTGCTTTGCACATGTGCACTGCTCTTGCATGGCTGTGGGGCTGTCCCATGTTTGGTACCCCATGCTTGACTGCTTTGCAAGTGTGCATTGTCCTTGCATGGCTATGGGGCAGGTCCATGCCTTGTGCCCCATGCTCAACTGCTTTGCAAACATGCAAGCATGCATTGYTCTTGCACGGTTGTGGGRCTGGTGAGCACCCTGTGCTTAGCTGATTTGCAAGCATGCACTGCCCTTGCATGCCTATGGGGCTGACCCACATCWGGCAGTGGGTGGCCCTGAGCACCTGGGCTGCAGCGATGGGCTTAGTGGCCCCAGCAGCCCCACCGCCCCCCGACACTTTGCCGGGCCCCTGTGTCTCTACAGAGCCACAAGCCGGAGAAGGAATGGTCCATCCAGAACCTGAAGATCTACCTTGGCATCAAGAAGAAGCTCCGGCCGCCCACGTGGTGAGCAGCACCCAGGGGGCAGGGTAGCTGCCATAGCCTGTTGCAGGGACAGGGATGGTGACARTCTGGGGACAGCGCTGGTGGCAAGGACACGGATGCTGCCAGCCTTGCTGCTTGCCACCAGATGTCAGAGCAGCCTCGTGGCGCGATAGCTACCGGTGCAAGGGGGACAGGGGAGAAGGAGACAGTGCTGGGCAGGAGATGTGGTGTGGACCATCCGAATGGGTGCATGGAAGCCCCTGCAATGTGGCGCATTCATGAGCATGCAGGTGTRCACACGTGTGTGAGCATATATGTGATCACGGGGAGCTCCAAAGGCTTCCTGGGAAGCTTCAAGGACATCTGCTTCACAGCTACAAATTATTGGGGGGCAAATGTTTGCATGCATGGGTGTGCTCGCATGTGAGTGCATGCAGGGGTGTGCATGCATATGTGTGCATGCATGTAAGTCCGTGTGTGCATTCAAAAGCATACATGTGAATGTGTGTGCATGCAGGTATGAACCTAGGAGTCTGTGTGCACATACATGTGTGAGTGGGTGTAAATGCATGTAAGTGCATGTTCCAAATTGCATGTGGTGCATGCCTGTGTGCACCCGTGTGCATGTGCATGCAAGTGGACAATCCTGACTACATGTGTGTGAGTGTGCATGCATGCAAGTGGTTATTCCAGAATGCTTGTGTGTGCATGCACATGTGCACGTGTGTGTGTCTGCATGCAAACAGGCATTCCAGGCTGCACATGCGTGCATGCAATACTGCACACCAGTTAGTGTGTGTGCATGGAAGAATGCATTGCAAAGTACAAGTGCGCGTGCACACGCGTGTGAATGTGTGCACAGATGTGCATGCATGTGCATGTGCATGTGCGAAGCAGGCACTGTTCCCCAAGTGCAAGCCTGGCTGCAGGAGGAATAAGAGTTAGGCAGGACTGAGCTCCCGGGAATGCTGGGGAGCTAGACCTGCTTGGRCTGGTGGTTTGACCATGCTGCAGAATGTCCCATCAGCAGAAACCTGCCACAATTGCAGCCATGCAGAAGGTGGGAGAACAGGAGCATGAAACCAAAGCTGTAGGCAGAAAGGCCGGTTCAGATAGCAGTGCCTGGGAGGATCCTGCTGGATTGCAAACTGGTGCAAAATGGGAAGGAATTGGAGCAGTTTCTGAGGGCTGTACTGGCCCTGAACCGCTCTGTCAAGCCCCTGATGTACGTGGTGGCTGCGGCTCTGTTTTGCTGACAGATGAGCTTTGCAAAGCGCAGCTAAAGGGAGATGAAGCTAAAACGCCTCCTCTCCTCAGTGGTCATCACAAGGGACCAAGCAGGCTCCTGGGCCAAGCTTGGAGCCCACCTGGTTGCTCTGAAGCAAAGAGCCCAGGGGAAGCCCTACTGGGAACCACGCTGGGTGTCCAGCTGCATGGGGTTGCAGGAGGCTTGCAGGGATGCAGGTGGTTCTTTGGGATGTTGAGGATCACAGGGATGCCCCTTGATCTCAGGGGTACACGTGGCTTGCAGGGATGCGGGAGAACCACAGGGATATGGATGGTTTTCAAGGATGTGGGAGGATCTCAGGTGGCTTGTATGGACATAGGAAGCTCTCAGGTATGTGGGTGGTTTGCAGGGCTGTAGGAGGATCACAGGGACGTAGGAGGATCTTAGGGATGTAGGTGGCTTGTATGGACATAGGAAGGTCTCAAGCATGTAGGTGGTTTGCAGGGATGCAGGAGGATCTCATGGATGCAGGAGGATCACAGGGATGTAGGAGCATCTCAGGGATGCGGGTGGCTTGCATGGACATAGGAAGGTCTCAGGTATGTGGGTGGTTTGCAGGGATGTAGGAGGATCACAGAGATGTAGGAGGATCTCATGGATGCAGGAGGATCACAGGGATGTTGGAGGATCTCAGGAATGCGGGTGGCTTGTATGGACATAGGAATGTCTCAGATACATGGGTGGCTTATAGGGATGTAGGAAGATCTCATGGATGCAGGAGGATCTCACGGATGTAGGAGGATCACAGGAACATAGGAGGATCTCAGGGATGCAGGAGGATCACAGGGACGTAGGAGCATCTCAGGGATGTGGGTGGCTTTTTGGGATGTGAGCAGTTGCTGGGACACTTAACACGGAGCCCTCGGAGCTAAGGGCAGCAGAGAGGGGGAGGCTGCTCTTCATCTTCTCACCTCTCTCCTTCCAGTTGGGGCTTTACTGTCTTCTATGAAAACGAGAAGCACGAGAAGCAGCAGTGGTAAGAAATGGCGGGGGGAACACGGCTGCCGTCTGGGGTGCATTGCCCTCCTGTCCGGGCTTTTCCTTGGAGCAGGAACCCGTCAGGAGCTGCAAAACTCTCTAGTGCCTGGATAAAATAACGGGGAGCCTGGCTCCAGGCAGAGGGGTAGTGAGGGGTGCATGCTGGGTCCTCCCGTGGTGCATCCTGCAGTGCTCCCCATGGCTCGTCCCATGGTGCACCCCATGGCTCATCCCATGGTGCATCGCATGGTGCATCCCACAGTGCATCCCATAGCTCATCCCATGGTGCATCTCAGGGCTCATCCCACGATTCATCCCATAGCTCATCCCATGACGCATCCCATAGCTCATCCCACAGTGCATCCCATAGCTCATCCCATGGTGCATCTCAGGGCTCATCCCATGATTCATCCCATAGCTCATCCCATGCTGCACCCCATAGTTCATCCCACAACACATCTCAGGGCTCATCCCATTGCACATCCCATAGTTCATCCCATGATTCATCCCATAGCTCATCCCACGGTGAATCCCATAGCTCATCCCACGGCACATCCCATAGATCATCCCACAGTGCATCCCATTGCTCATCCCATGGTGTATCCCATGGTTCATCCTGCAGTGCATCCCATAGCTCATCCCACAGTGCATCTCAGGGCTCATCCAAGGGCACATCCCATAGCTCATTCCACAGCACATCCCATAACTCATCCCACAATTTATCCCATAACTCATCCCACAATTCATCCCATAACTCATCCCACAGTGCATCCCATAGCTCATCCCATGGTGCATCCCATAGCTCATCCCATGGTGCATCGCATGGTGCATTGCATGGTGCATCCCATAGCTCATCCCATGGTGCATTCCATTGCGCATCCCATGGTGCATCCCACAGTGCATCCCACAGAGCATCCCGCAGTGCATCCCATAGCTCATCCCATGGTGCATCCCACAGTGCATCCCACAGTACATCTCATAGTTCATCCCACAGTGCATCCCATAGCTTATCCCACAGTGCATCCCATAGCTCATCCCACGATTCATCCCATAGCTCATCCCACAGTGCATCCCGCAGTACATCCCATAGCTCATCCCACAATTCATCCCATAGCTCATCCCATAGCTCATCCCACGGCACATCCCATAGCTCATCCCACGATTCATCCCATAGCTCACCCCACGGCGCATCCCTAACGCACCCCGTGGTGCTCACGGGGCCGCGCTGCCTCCCACAGGTACCTGTGCTGCGACACGCAGGCGGATCTGCGGGAATGGTTCGCCACCTTCCTCCACGCGCAGGTAGGGACCAGGCCACCCAAGGGCTCCCGCTCCGGCGGGAAGCGCTCCCGGCATCCCACCACGAAGGATGCAGCAGCATCTACCACGGCGGTCCCCAYGCCACAACGGTCCCCGTGTCGCCCGCAGCACGGCGGGGCCGTGTGGCCCTCGGAGAGCTCCAGGACGCGGGCGGCGCGGCCGCCGCAGGACTCCAGGTTGGGTAACATCTCCCTCATCCCGCTGCGCGGCAATGAGAGCGAGATGAGGAACAGCGTGGCCGCTTTCGCTACTGACCCGCTGACCGTGAGTGAGCGCCGCCGGGGCCGGCCTCGCCGCCGCTGGCATCTTGCAGGGCGGCCGTGTCCCACTTGCAGCATCCCGAATCCCCGCTGGAGCCACAAGGACCTCCCGCGGGTCCTTGTTGCCGTTATAAACCTGTCGGGTACCGGYGGGAGCGTCGCTCCGGGTGATGCCACCCATGGGTGCTCCCCGGTTTATAACCGTGGCGGAGGCTCCGCTTTGCAGCCCGCGTGCCCCCGGCAGTGCTGGGCGATGCTACAGCCGGGTCCGGGTGTATCCCCATGGGATGCCCAATGGGAGCAAGGGTGCGAGCAGGAGCAGGGCGCACTCCTGGSTCCGCTGGTGCAGGAGAAGGGGCCGGGTGGTGGCGACAGCGCTGTATCCAAGCACAGCGGGTGCTGGGTGCTAACCGWGGCTTTTCCCATCCCTCCTTATCCCAGCTCCTGCGAAACGTCTGAGCTGGAGGCCTGACCCTTCAGGTGGGTGCACGGGGTGCCCTGCAGCATCCCCATCCCTCCTCCGATGGTGACGCGTGGTCCTTGTCCCCCGCGCTCACTGCTTGCTCCCCTTGCACCCACAGGACTGCCGCAGGCGGGGAAGTGCTCCCCGGGACCGGCCGCTTCCCGCTCCGCTTCTTCCGCTCGGGAATTCGGCCGGAGAGGAGGGAGCCGCCTCGGGGCGCTGCCTCCTGCCCACCCTCCGGTTGCAAACCCTGCGGGATGTGGCCAGGCCCCAGGAGCCTGGCCTCCCTGCATCGCTCCGACGGTGTCCGTGGGACCGGATTAGGTGGCGGGACGGGCCCTGCTTCCCCATCTCTTGTGAATATTAAAACTTTTTTGGGAAAACGTTTTTTGGAAAAATTTGGTGCTGGAGGCATCCAGGTCTTTGCTGCTGGTGTGGGAGTCCCACTGCCCATCTGGGGCATCCTGGGGCAGGATGAAGGCAAATAAGGGATTTTCCTGGGTTTTTGCAATAAATGGTGGGGCATCTGGGGCATCCTGGGGCAGGATGAAGGCAAATAAGGAATTTTCCTGGGTTTTTGCAAAAAACGGTGGGGCCGGAGAGGCTGAGCGCAGTGTCAAAGCATCAGCTGGGCTGCCCGGACTGAAGAGGAAAGCAYCGGAGCTGGGAATGGTACGTATGTGTAAGAACACGCATGCAAACATACACACATACGTGTGATTGCACACTCGTGTGCACAGACATGCACAGGAAAGCATGTGTGCATGTGCACACATGTGAGAGTGCCTACTTGTGTGTACACATGTTCAAGGCCACGTGCRCACATGTGTGCACCAGTTTGTACTTGTGTGCATGCATGAAAAAGAACACATGTGCATGCTTGTGAGTGCACACATGTGCATGCACATGCAAGTCAGTGTGCATGTACAGTGCATACTTGTGCTTGCACACATGCAACATCACATGCACAGGCGTGTGAATATGTGTGAAGGGATTGTGTGTGTGCATGCATGTGCATGCAYGAGTGTACAGGAATGCACAACATGTGTGCATGAATCCACACATGCATGCATGCACCTGCATGCACACAGGTACAAGAGCACATACACCCGTGCAAGAACRTATGTGCATGCACACACACCTCCACTGTCCTGCCTCCTGCCCCGCTCCAAGAATCCCAACCCCGCCACTGGAGGGGATGCAGCAGATGCTGTTGCTGCACCCGGATGGCTCTGCAGCCGCATGCGGGGAGGAGCGCGGCACCCTCCTCTGCCCCATGCGGTCGCCGGCGCTTCCTGCTCACCTTTCAGCCTCTCTATTTATAGCAGCGTTGGAGGGCTGTGCGCCGCAGCCTGGCCGCRGCGAGCACGCGGTTGCTGCAGCGGGGGACATGGGGCTGTACGGAGCTGCAGCTCTTCTGCGGAACGGCTCCGGGGGGCAACGCGAGGCTTTCTGCTCTCGCCCTGCAGCCATGCAGAGAGGCAGAGACTGCAGGTCTTGTGTACATGCAGCTCCATGCATGCATGCAGCTCCATGCAGACGTGCAGCCTCGTGCATATGTGCAGCTTCATGCAGGCATGCAACTCCGTGCCCATGTGCAGCTCCACGTATATGTGCAACTCCATGCAGACACGCAACTCCATGCATATGTGCAGCTCCATACACGCACACGACTCCATGTGCACATGCAGCTCCATGCATATGTGCTGCTCCATGCATGCACACAACTCCACGCAYACATGCAGCCCCATGCACACGTGTAGCCCCATGCATGTGTGCAGCTTCATGCATGCATACAGCTCCATGCAGGCACGCCGCTCCATGCGTGCGTGCAGCTCCATGCATGCATGCAGTTCCAGGCATATGTGCGGCTCCATGCATGCAYGCAACTCCACACATATGTGCAGCTCCATGCATGCCCGCAACTCCATGCACGCATGCAGCTCCGTGCCTATGTGCAGCTCCATGAAAATGTACAGCCCCACGCACATCTATGCCTCCRTGCACAGCTGCATGCACAGTCCCATGCATGTGTGCCACCACCCTGTGCACATGTACAGCCCGTGAACACAGCCCCATGCATCTGTACAGCCCCACCTCTGCATGCATGCATTGTGTTTGCATGTGCATGCACTGGCTTGATGTTTGCAACGTGGCCTCTGGAATCCTCATGTGCACTCAGTGCCTGCATGTGTGCTTCATGGCCTGCATATGTGCTGAGCTTGGGCATGCATCTGCCCTTGGAGTCTGCATGCATGCGCCTCTATATGTATGCATGGTGTCTGCATCTTCATGCACTGGCTTGACATTTGCARCGTGGCCTCGGTGTCTCTGCAGTCCTCATGTGCACTCGGTGCCTGCATGTGTGCTGCATGGCGTGCATGTGTGCTCAGTTTAGGCATGCACGCGTCCTTTGGAGTATGCATGCATGCACCTCTGCATGCGTGCATCGTGTTTGCATGTGCATGCACTGGCTTGATGTTTGCAATGTGGCCTCGGTGTCTCTGCAGTCCTCATGTGCGCTTGGTGCCTGCATGTGTGCTTCATGGCCTGCATATGTGCTGAGCTTGGGCATGCATCTGCCCTTGGAGTCTGCATGCATGCACCTCTGCATGCGTGTGTGGTGGCTGCATGTGCATGCACTGGCTTGACGTTTGCAATGTGGCCTCGGTGTCTCTGTACGTGGAGTCCTCACATGCACTCATGCCTGCACGGGTGCTCGGCTTGCATGTGCAGACAATATCTGCAACCTGGGTACGGAGCCTGCACATGTGCTTCATGGCAGCGCTGCATGCTTGGCGGCTGCAATGTGCACTCAAAACTCGCACGAGTGCCTCACGTCCCCATGCTGAGCCCTGGCCCAAAGCAGCACCCTTTGCAAYGACCCAGGCCCAAAGCAGCACYSTTTGCAACGAGCTGCCYGTGCTCAGCTCCYGCAACATGCAGCAAGYGCATGAGCAGGGCAGGAGGGTCCCGACCACGTTGCAGCCCCTCCTGCAGCAGCCCCGCACCAAACCGAGCCGGCACCGCRTCCCATTGGGACCTGTGACGGGAGGAAGCCGAGCCAAGAGCCTGTCTCCGCCGAGGGGGCTGCGTGGATCCTACCTACACCTCCCCGCTATGTATAGCGCCGCGGAGGCGAGCGCCGTGTGACACCTCGCACAGACAAGTGATTAATTGCGGCGTCATTTGCAAGCAGCTCGTTAATGCCCCTCTTCTCTCTGCACGGCCCCCCGCGCACGGGTTTCTCGCCCCTCCGCACCCTGTCCCGCCGTTTTCCAAGGGCAAAGCCGGGGCTGGGAGGGCAATTTGGCACAGGCAGCTCCCCAAGCTGGGAATGGACTCGGCATCACCGGCGCCTGGCCTTAATTGAGGCACCGCCGCACTCCGGCAGACTTTAAAACAGTCATTATTTCATCAGCAGCCCCATTAAACTGTCATGGGCGCTTTTTTTTTCTTGCTTTTTTTTCCCTGCTTTTTTTTCCCATTTTTTCTTTTTTCTTTTTTCTTTTTTTTTTTAAATCTCTTTCCCTCCCCTTTGTTTCCCCCCATCTGCAGCTTTTCATCCTCAGCTCCACCATGGAGGTCTGATCATCCCCTGCCTTTCACCTCCAGTTCCCCTATGGGTAAAAGAGGGTCGGGGGCCACATCCTGCCCCCCCACATCAAGATAGGGGGGGGGTCCCCTGAATCTGCAGCAGGAGGATGAGGAGGGCGGGGAGGAAGGGCAGAGCCGCCTCTCCCAGGGCAACCTTGGCTCTTGCAGCATCCCCATCCCTGGCTGTCCTCCGTGGAGGCCGCGGAGGCCGGGCCCCCGCGGGGGATAAAAGGCTCCGGGCAGCTTTGAAGCGCGCGGCGAGATCGCGGCCCCGCGGCTTGCGGCCGCTCGCCCGGCCTCCTTCCCCATTAGCCGCCCACGCGCTGCTCCCGCCGTAACGGGAGGAAGAAAGGGAAGACGAAAGGACCCCGCGGACGAAAGGACCCCGTGCTGCTGCTGCTGCTGCAGCCGGGGCCGTGCATGCCCCGTGCATGCCCCGTGCATGCCCCGTGCATGCCCTGTGCCAAAAGGAGCGGTGTCTGGGGTGCGCGTCCTGCAGGGAAGGGTGCTGCAGCCCCTGGCATTGCTGCTCTGCCCGGTGCAGCGGCTCGGGGGCTGCTTGTCGCCCGCCTTGGCGGTGCTCTCAGCGAGGAGGAGGAGGAGGAGGAGACCGGCTTGTCTTTCTCCATTAAGACAACGTCAAATTTGCATTTATTTAAAAATAACAGGGCTTTCAATCTCCGCGGCTGACTTCAGCGGCAGCTTCTCCCGGTTGCCCCACGCAGACTGGGTACAGGARCACCCTGCATACCTGCAGACTGGGACAGCACTGCTGCCGACACATGCATGCATGTGGGAGTCTGCATGCTTGCATGCATCTGCATGCACTTGCACAGGCCCTTGCATGCGCATGTTCCTTGCAAATTCACATATGCATAATGCACCAATGCACCAATGCAGCATGCACATGCAAGCCCATATGATGCAGCTCTTGCAGTAGGTGTGGATAAATCCATCCTTGGATAAATCCCAGGGAAGTCGTTGCATGCACGGGATCTGAGCAGCCCCAAATATGCGCCCCGAACTCGCACCCCCTTGGCTTCTTCCAGCGCAAGGTTGCCAGCAGGCAGCAATTTTGCAGACCTCAAATTAAACAGGAAAAGTAGAGCATTAAAATAAAAAAGAGAGAAGGAAAAAAAAAGAAAAGAAGGAAAAAATGAAAGGAAGGAAAAAATGAAAAGGAAAACTGTAGAAAAAATGAAAATAAGGAAAAAATGCAATGAAAAAATGGTAGAAAAGATGAAAAGAAGGAAAAAATGAAAAGAAGAAAAATGAAAAGAAAAATGGTAGAAAAGATGAATAGAAGGAAAAAATGAAAAGAAGGGAAAAAAGAAAAATGGTAGAAAAAAATGAAAAGAAGGAAAAAAGGAAAAGAAGGAAAAGAAGGAAAAGAAAAAATGGTAGAAAAAATGAAAATAAGGAAAAAAATGAAAAGAAGGAAAAAATTAGAAGAAAAAATGGTAGAAAAAAAGGAAAAAAAGGGAAAAATAAAAAAAGAAAAATGGTAGGACTTAATCACCAGCAAGGCTCTTTGCGCCGAGTTGCTCTAGCTGGGCGATTTATCGGTGCAGCAT